AATAAAAAAACTACAATAGAATGATTAGTGTATCCAGGGCAATACTTTAAAATCAATTACATCAGTTACAACAGCCAGCCAGGATGAAATGTAATCCTTTGCAGATCAGTGAAGGCAGACATATTCATTTCAGAATGTTTTAAAGATTTCTTTTTTAATACAAAAAGCACATTTGGTGTTAAGACGTTTGTATGTGAGATATTATAATTGTGCTTATTTAAATTGTGTGACAAAGACAGCATCTGCATCTAAAATTTTGTTCCTACAAATTAAATAAATTATCACGAATTTCACAAATTAAGTGATGTCATCCTAACCCAACAACACACCCCCATAAGAGGTAGGAGGTACTGACATTAATTACAATTCTGAAAGTCAATGTAAAAATGCAGTAAACAAACAGGAAAGGTAAAGGTGGCATGCACAGGCAGGCTTTTAAAAATAAGTAATAAAAACCTGGATGAAAGGCAGAAGGTGCATTTTTGATAGAAGCAATCTGCATGAATAGCAAGACCATTTGTGGAATAGCTGTGCAGTCTAAATTGATATAATCTAGGTTCACATCACTTTAACACATCAATTAAATTTCAAAATTATTCATGAGGTCACAATTCTTTAAATTTGTCCAAATCTGATTAACTAATTGTCTTTTATAGATCACATTAAAAATTCCATGTGAAATCTACTTTCCTCTTTAGACTTAGGGATTTTTTTTTTGCTTATACTTTATGCTAAGTGAAAAAGATTATGATAACTTGGCATGAACAGCTTTCACAATAAAATGACATACCTAGTATCACCATTTTATCATGTTCTAATAGATTTAGCTTTATTTTGTGAACAAACTGGACAATAAAATCATTGAAAAGATTGAAAAGACTATCAACTCTTGAAATAATAGAATATCACTTCAGAAACAATGTGTTTTTATTATTAACATCACTAGGAACAGTTATGTTAGTGGCACATTAGTACTTTGTACATTCAAGAAATGAACAACAATACATATGCTGTAAATAGACATACATTATGAGGTTGTGTACATTACTCCAACAGTATACAGTACGCCTCACACTTGGCAAACTCCTTTCTTATTCAAACTCCAGGGGAATGAAACCCTCTTGTGTTGCATTTTGCGAATGAATTATTTAAAAAATGTGAATGAAAACCATCTCATGACTTGAATTTGCTGTCATGAAGATGACAATATATATCCCTATGAAAGTGGTCATTTGCATCCTGATTTTTTTAATTTCAGTTTTGTGTTACTTGTCTTATATCAAGCATTATCATATAATTAGGATTAAATAATTAAAATAAGGGACCTTGCATTCAGTTCAATTCTGCACCCAGGGTGCTATCTGTGTGGAGGTTTGTGTCTTCCCTACGTTTGCATGGGTTTCCTCTCATAGTTCAGTTAATTGGCTTCTAGGATTGGCCCTGGTGTGAATGCGTGCTTGTCTGTGTGTGTCCTGCGATGAACTAGTGCTCCACCAAGGGTGTAACCTGCCTCGCGCCCATTACTTGCCGAGATAGGCTCCAGATCCCCCATGACCCTGAACTGGATGAAGCAGTTAGAAAATGGATGGGTGGATGAAAATAACATTTAGAATATTTATCATGCTTAACTGACTTTTCCAAGAAATATTGCTTTCAGAAAAAAAAGACAGGAAGACAGATAACGAAAAATGTAAGTGTAACGGTGGTTCACCAACTAAAATACATACTTTATCAACAGGCTTTCATATCCTGCTGTGTTACTGATTTGCTTATCCTGAGCACTGCCTTTCAAATGCATTTGAGAAGCTTTTTATTTGGGCTATTAACACTAATTTGCACACTGAGTAAAGATCTAAGTACAGTGATGTAAAATATATACATATATAATAGGAAAACAACAAGTAAGAGTAAAACAGTTCTTAAACACTGTAAACCACAGGGTTGCTATTGTAAAAATCCTTGGAATTTTACACTTATAATTTAAGTGTTTGAATAATAATTTGAAATGTTTCCAGGGCCTTAGTTATTAACCTCTTCTGTAATGTTACAGTATAAGAAATATCTTTGTTCCAGACAGCAGCTATAAACTGCCTACCATTTTGAATTGTTCCATACTGTAAATTTAATAATACATAATAACTTAAGGTCTTCCACTGTAAACTTACTTCCTTAACTCATTTTAATCAAAAGTAATGGAGCTCTGCTGGTGATTTTCTAGGGTTGGCATTGGTAGGGCAGTCAGATTTCTGCATATAGATCACAGATGTGCCTTGGTGATGACTAATGACTAATGTGACTAATGTGATGACCTGGTTATGACTGGTATGATTGTAAATAATTTAAATCAATGTTGTTTTTTCTATGGTCATGTTGTGTATTGTGTGTTGTTTTTGTATGTGCATGTTGTATACTTAATACACAACAGAAGAAAACAAAAGTGAACAAATAAAAGCACAGCAAGCTGATTAAGTAAAATTAAGAGTAAGATTAGACTGCATAGCAAAAATAAAAAGACAGGTGCTTCGAAAAAGGAGGCAGTCGCATTGTTTTTTATAGATTTGTGATGTGTGTTATAGTACGTGAATGTGGTGTTGTTTAACAAGAAGGTTAAAGAAAGAGGGTAAGAAATAGAATATCTCAAATTTACAGTTCTAGGTATAAAGCACATTAGGATGCTAAGCCATGAAAAGCACTATATAAAATATGACTTGACTTGAATAATTTATTCTTAGTATACTCAGACAAGGTATTAGGTATTTTAGATTTTGCTTTGTAAAACAGTCCTATACATTTCCTCCAGTTGTCAAATAATGTGTCTCATACTGCATGCTGGTATTTCTTTTGTGCTACTTCAGCCACACAATAAGCTAGATACAATTCATGGTTCACACATCTTTACACATCATAGTTGCTAAATTGTAGTTAAATGACAGGTCATGTGCTTTTATTGTCAATAAAAGTCTGAGTATACTGGTATCCATGAACTTATTACTGCCTCTAATGAATGTATTTCAGCATGTTTTTCCAGCCAAAATTTTAATGTTGGAATAAGAATGACAGAATGTACTGCAGACATACAGAGGGAACACAGATGAGGACGATTTTGTACATTCTTCCTGTTGTCTCTGATTTATAATTCCGACATCACTAAATGGAGGAGTGAATTAAAACTAAACTAAAACTATGATAAAGAGTTTGTAACAAAAGAGTTAAGTCACTAAAGTGAACTGCAGCTTGTTATGTTCTTCTTTACAAATGGGGTTTTAAGGCCTTATTAACCTGCTTTTCAAAAAATTCTTGCTATTCCTAAAAACATCAGCAATATACAAGCATGCAAACATCAGTAGGCAATTACAAAAAATAAAGGAGTAACACTCTTCAGGTTCATGTATTTGGTGAATGATTTAATGCTTTGAAATGTTTAATCTTTAATGGATTCATATTATTATATGAAACACACAAAACTTGACAGAAAATAAGTATCTGGAGTGCTACTACTTATGTGTTAGCATATGATTAGTATACAATTTTTCTTAATCTTACTTTATGTTACTAACATGCACAATCACCATTTCTAATACAACAGATGTGAGACTTAGTAGGATTTCAATAAAAACATATTTATTTAATATATATTTAATATATTTAAATATAAATTTAAATTTAAATATAAGAATTTAAGATATTTAATTCTTATTTGCATGTTATAGAAAGGATACTGCAGTTGCTAAACTTATTCTTACAGTATATTCTACTTTACAGGTCATGTATTACTGATCTACATGTAATACTGATTTACCTCCTAAGTACTTTCTACTTAGGAGGTAAAAACAAACAGTAATAATGAATGCAAATCCATACTAAATACTGGAAAAACTAGATTCATCATTTGGAAGCACAGAGTAAGAATATGTTATAACAGATACATGTATTATTTTTTTTCAGAAGCTGATAGTATTTAATGTATTTACGAAACACATTAGGCCTAATATTGACAACATTGACAATGACAACCAAAATAATGTTGCATGTGTAAAATGGAGTTAAATTTTCTACAATAAAATACATTTAAATTATCTGACTATTTTAAAACATAAATTATACTCATGGCATTATGTGTTAATACTAAAAACAATTTGAAGAGTAACATAAGAATGCATTGAAGTGTTATAGTATTTGAAATGTTTTATTTTTCAGTCATTGATTTGTTCACCATTTAAACTTAAATTAATGGACATTGGACCAAATTAATAATGTTTTTTTGTTTTCAATTTAAAGCTTTATCAAGTTAACAAAATAGTTTTCTTGATTATAAATCTCTAATTGACATAGTAAGTGAACAGTGTATTCGTGCTAAACTCTTTTACATATAAATATACGCATTGCTGAAGATGAATAATGAACACATCCATGTGCTTTGGTTTCAAAATGTTAAACTGTATTTCAGAATGAATCCAGAGAAGATGGCAAAAATAAAATATTTTAGCTTTTGATCAACACGGTATTTCAGTACTTTATTTTGGTAAAATACAAATTAACACAATGAGAGAATGAAATTTAAAGGGCTAGCGTACTTAATATTTTAATGTTAATAATTTGCTCGCCTTAGTTCCTATGTCTTATAATTAGCTGCAGAAGTTCACAATTCTAGCACACTGCTAATGCTCCCTTGGTACTAACTGTTCAAAGGAAGAAACATTCAGTTCTTGCCTTTCTGTACAAATTGTTCTCAACCATAATCATCCAAATTAGTCCAGTACATGTACCAAAAGAAGCAAGTCATATAATTGCCTTGTTGTATTATCTTCTTTTTAAAGTAGACAAGATGTTTGTGGCCATGTTAAAAGGTGCTTGTTATGAGTCTGGATCTATGGTACAGAAGACTGCATACAGTATATTAATTTTAGTAAGATGAGAATTCTCATGTAATTTTTAATATAGATTTTTAAAATTTTAACTACAATCAGCTTTTGTAGTGCTCATAATGAAGTTGTACTTACCTAACAATGGTGGTGATCTGAATGAAAGTGGTCTGATTAGGCCGATGCAGCAAGACTTCTTCCTTCTGTTTGTGGAAAAAAAAAAAGAAATCAATACTGAACTCTCACCGAAGGGAAACCTCCAGTGAAGGATGTCTCATTTCAAATATCCGTAAAGCAAGTATTAATCCAAGGCATAATAAATGTTTAAGCAGTGTCTTATGGGAGATTACTATTCTTCTCTTTCCATAGCAAAAGCTAAAGACAAAAAATATACCTTCATTCTCTTGCTGTTGACTTAGGGTGGGATGAGGGATTTGTAAAGAGGTTATTTTAAAATATCATGGCAAAGGTAAAGCCAAATTTGTTCCAAAGATACTGGCTGAAAGCAGAATTACAGTGAGATTACTTTTCCTTTCCTCAACCTTCCGCGGTCCAAACTACGAAATATGGACACTAAACAATGCAGAGTAAAATTCCCATGTACAGTAAGAATAACAGAAGATACATTTGCATTGTTACATCATTTGTCATTAAAAGAGCCTCCATTACACATGCATTGAAATTTCTTGCATTTTGTGCATTCTTGCAAATACATTTTTTAAAATACAAAAGCACATTTAAATAAATATGTATACAAAGTATCTCTGATTTTAATTGTGACACTGCCATCTGGCCCCCAATCTTCTTTAGAGTACATAAAAAAAACCTTTTCAAATTCTGAGTAAAGCATAAATACAGCTATTTTATTTCCACCTGATTAATGTAAACAAAATATTAATGTGGGCTAACTGACCTTCAATGACTACCCTTTTTATTGGTATAGTATGTAAATCAATAATGATCATCAAAACCAACATGGGTTGAAGCCTTTCCACAAACCACAACCTATATCATAACCATTGTATGACCATAATTATGGTTAACTTGATTTTCTGTTTCAGAAGAAGGTGAAAAGTACTCCATTGTATTTACAAATCTCAGGACTAAAGAAAAGTTCAAGACATTATGGTACAATAAACTATTTTCAGTTAATTCCTAGCATTTGAGTTACACTGTCAGAATTGGTTTAAAGATGGACACTCGATTTAAAAAAATATGTTCTTATGATGACATAAGAAATTAGGTGTTGTCCCTTTTCCCAAACCAAGACATGAAAAACACAAGGCCTCACATAGGATGAAGCTCATTTTATGTACTTTGTCAATAGATATAATTCATTTATTTACATAGAATAATACAACCTAAAAAACAGTTTACTTTATCACCATCTCAGATTGTAAAACCTATTAGTATACAACATAAAGCTTTGGGTTCCTAATCAACCAGCAGCTGATCTGGTTCTTATCAAGGAAAGCAAAAGATACAATCAGAGGCATGCTAGAAGAAACTCTTAAAGAGCAGGTGAAGTGTTGTCTAGTGTCTTAAAAGCTTGTTATTGGCTTACAAATATCATTATAAACATGGAAATTAATTGTCACAAATGTAAACAAGAATAATATAATCATATATCTAGTTTCATTTATACAAAAAGCAATTTGTAGTCATTTGTCTTTTCATGTGTCTAAGGTCAAAGTCCTTGTTGTACTGTATGCTTGAAATAACAGAAATACAAAATACAAGAAGAGTAAGAAAAATCTTAAATAACGTACACATATCATATACAGAATACAGTATGATGTCACATTAGAGTGAAGAGAGAATCCAGAAATTTACCAATACATATTTTAATAAATACTTTTATAGCAGTGTTGAGTTGAGAGACCCAATTCCCCTTAGGGTAAATTCTAAGCCTTCTTCCCAAGTTGGGTAGGAGTGGTCGTTTATAACCCACAGAGATTTTCAATTTAAACACGTTGCATTTGCAGGTGCAACAGTCATAGCCAATTAATTTAAAAGCAGTGTGGACCACTCTATCCTGTTGTCTCCTCTTCTGACTGGCTAAGTTTCCAAACCAGACTGTCACAGAAAAACATTGCTTTTAATTATTACCCTGTATAAATGAACCTTGGCTTCCTGAGACACACCAAACTTTCTGAGCTGGCTAAAAAAACAGTCTCTGATGGGCTTTCTTTACTGTTTTATGTACAATGGTCTCCCATTTCAAGGTGGAGGAAACTTCTGTGCCAAGAAACTTAAAGGAATCTACCCTCTCCATTATCTTTCCATTAAACACCATAGGTTGCATCTGATTCATGTTATACCTGAAATCAAAGATTACCTCTTTGGTTTTAATAACCAAAGCTATTGAGCTGGAGATTGTTTTGATTAATTTCACAGATTTGGTAGTACATACACGTCATTAATATACAAGGAGTATGGAAGTGGTGACAGACTTGGGGGGCACCTGTATTTAAAACCAGTGGATGTTAGAGTTTCAGGTGTACTTTGACTGCCTGCTTCCTGCTTCATAAAAAATCTAGAATACATAAATGCTTCTGTCATCTTAAATATAAATAAGCAAAATACAGTATGTTATAGATGTCACAGATGAAAATAGTAAATAACATAATTCCACTGCGAAACCATAATATCTGTAATCCCGCTCATTTGAAATGTTTCAGAGGTCAACCATCTCAGCAGGTTGTTGCAAACATCAATGATATACTGACATTAAAATGTTTCTGAAGAACATTTAATCATTTTTTTTTATTTTGTTGCATCATAGCTATGCATAAGAGGAACTGCAAATAGCAAATTTAGTTTCTGCAAATATATTTGTTAATATGATTAAAGTTCCAGGAGTTATCTCAATGGATAGGATTAATTATCAAACTTCTGCAGCAAATGGACAGACAGGGATCTGGACATTGTAGACACTACAAGTAGGTGGTCATTGCCACACTTTATTTTTGAGGATTATTCTAAATCAACACCAAACAAACGTCTACCACAGTGACGGCCTGGCTCTGCTGAGAAGGACTGAAGCATTTTCTGATTCACTGCACTATTACAACACTTTACAAGAGTGTAAAACTCACTTAAAGGATAGCTCACTGTTACAACTGAACTAGGCCCTCTGGTATGGTCCACTATAAATGGATGACAGACCTGTTCCTGAGGCACAAAGCATCGCTGTATTGTTGCCACACAAGAGGACTCTGGTATTGATAAGTTTTACTTTTCTAAACTTTAGGAACCAAACTGTTAACAGACCTTTTTTTTATGTATTCAAGTACAGTAGGTAGTTGCCACAGCATGCATAGGCTGCAAAAGAATAGGTGAAAGTTAGGCTATGATACAACAGGTAAATATTACCCCTGAAGAAGGCTCCACAGCCGAAACATTGCATCAGCATGGAATAAACTTTACCTACTCCTTTCTTTATGCAGGGTAATTACTGATGCTGAATGCAGTACTGAATCTAGTACTTCATAGTGCACATAACAGGGCCCTTCACGAAGTACAACCTTTGTTGGTCTGCGCAGATCTGACCTGTATCTGACCTGCCGCTAGCACACTTGCAGTTAGCAAGTGTTTAAACCATCCCAAAGCTTTCACATTTCATTCTGTTAGGCATAGATCATTCTCTAGGACTGATTGTATTCTTACTTCAAACGTGATCCAATCCATCTCAAAGTGGGCATTCTACGTAGAGTGTTTTTTGCAATGTACTCTGCCTGAATATTGTACTCCATAGCTCTCTTTATCGAAGGGTGCTCATCAAGAACGTTCTCTTGATGTCTGCCATTTCTGTAGAACTCTTTACATAACCACTTCACTGACCTGACACTTTAGTTCTTATCAATATTAAAAAGAAGCAACAATATCTACCACTTTATTGTTACATGCTATTATTTTTAGAGGATACTGCTTATATCCTACAGATACAGTACATATTGTTTCATCTGTAAACAAATCTGCCATTAAGTATTATCTTATATCTTAGTGTAATACATGACTATTGAAATTATTTTTTTCCTTGATCATAAAAACAGAGACAGATTTAGAAATATAGTATCAAATTCTAAATTGTCTCCCAGCATACATCATTACAATAAAAATAAATGTACTCCTGTGCAACATTTTTTTTCAATTCAATTCCACATTTGCTATATTGTATTAATTTATTGTTGCTCCATCAAAAAAAAATGAAAATGATAAAAAGAACTAAAAGTACTAACCATATTCATAAACATCATTACTGGATTTTACTGGACTGTTTTTTTTCTTTGCATGAGAATTGTATTGCATGCATAGCATGTACAGTATATACAGCATTGTATAAACAAGTTTTTCTGAGACGTACATATCCACCTCTCTACAAAAGACAGTTCAAGACTATCAGTGTCAGGCTTCTACGTCTGTCACGCGTGCAACCACCCATATACAGTGTATATATATCTCTGACTCAGAGGTACACTTAGATGGATCTGCGTCAGTGCTATGGCACCATCAGAAACACTTAACACAAGGAAAGCTTTTTCGGATTCTTTTATGTCACTGTACCAATGCATTTTTGCAATGGACTTTTCTTAACATATCAAAATGAACTGTAAATTACACTTTTCAAAGCAACTACAAAAAAGTGGTTTTAATGTACCCTACAAAACATTTTTTTCCACTCAACAATTTGATGTAGCAATTTAAATTCCCAGAGCGCACAAGGTAATAACTTACTCTGAGCAGAAATGAGTAATTTACTACTGTTGAATATTTACTAGATAGGAGAGTTTACATGCTACAAAAGTTAGAGAAAAAAAGTAGTCACTGCACAGATCTCCACTATTCTCTTGTGCCATGCTGAACAATTTAAATGATAATTTGATCATTTAAATGATAAGACCTACAAAATAACATTTCTCCTAGAAAAGTATTTAGTCCATGGTAAAGCATAACTTACCACAGTACTTTCTTGAACTGAAAATTGCCAAGTGGTGAAACCTAGTTTAGACCATGTAAATAAAAGCACTTTCTGTAAGTATTCAAAAAGAATGCTAGTAAACTGTAGGTTGCATACAATAAACTGTATACAGTACACCGTGTTATTTCTCTTCTGGCATTATTTTTATGTGGGCCTGTGTTATCAAAAAGAGAAACAGTTGTGAAGAATAAAGGACTTTCACCTCTCCAGACAAGCTCAATC